AAGAATGTCCTTGGCCATATGCAGCAGGTTAGATGTAATAAAAATCAAGAATGCACATTTATCAGGAGTTGTATTTTGTCTGACAAATGTTATTTTTCTAGGGTGGCACCCCAACTCCTTTTGACAGAAACTTTGCAACCAAGATGGGTGCTAAGGCTGTTCTCTGGCTCACTGAGAAGCTGAAGGAGTGTTATAGACATGGTGAGAAACAATGTGGTCTATTATTTCTTTATATTTTAGTCGTCCATGCCATAGCAACACTGTATATCAGTCTGCTCAAAATTTAAATACTTTAATTTTGTTGCGGTGTACATCTTGTTGTTATGGCTGATCTTTTTGTACATTTGAATGGACAAATTTTTCTAGCGGAAGCTGTAAGATGATATATAAAAGTTTAGGGTCAATAAGCTAAAAAAATCATGCATGGAAACATTAAATTTAACAAAAGTGAAGGTAAAGACATGTATAATGTTACAAAGTATTTCTATTTCAAATAGATGTTGTTCTTTTGAAGTTTCTATTCAACAAAGAATCTTGAGTCTTCTTTCAAAAACATTTATTGACTTTTAATTGACAGTGGACAATTCTAAAATAATTTCAACTCAAATCAGTATTTCATGTACACGTATGTATTTATTTGGTGAGTAGCTATGTAGTAATGTTCACTCAGCCAGTCTCAGAAAATATTATTTTTATTATTATTATTTGTTTCCAACAGTGAGCTGCTGACAAAACATTATCCCTTTACTTTATCAATCATTTGTCAGTAACCAGGACCCTTCCCTTCCCTTTTGACTGTCTGTACAGGGCGAATCTTTGCCAACACCCTAGACTCTGCGTGTGTGTTGGGCATGAGGAAGAGAGGACTGGTGTTACAGCCTCTGGCTGAATTGAAAGAAGAAACAGATTTTGAGTAAGAATCTTCCATTATCATGTGCCATTTAATGCATGTCATTCCTAAGTTTGTGACTCAAATAATTCACGACGGTCCACAAACTCTCTCCCTCATCTCTTTCCCTCAGACACCGTATTCCGAAGAACCAGTGGTGGTTGAAGCTGAGGCCTATTATGAAGATCTTGGCCAAGTACCAGATTAGTCTGGACACCTCTGAACACGCTCTTATGGAGCATGTCATCAGCAAGAAGCCTCCAGTGCACATGACTCTCACAAAGTAATCATGAGCAAAAATGAGGACAGACAGATACAACACACATATGAAATGACTGATTTATTAAGTTATTTGTTCATCTGTCTGTGTCTTATTCATTCATTTTGTTTGTATTTATCGTATTTATGGTAATGCTGTTGCAACATGCAAATTAAAATAATCTTATTATTAAATGCCCTTGGTTTTCTTTTTTTAATTTAGGAGGGAATGAAAAAACTAAGCCTGGTAAATAAGCCTAGTAAATATTTAAGGATAATGCACTCAAGCAACCACTATTTTATTATATATATATATATATATTAGACAATTAAGATCAATTTCCTATATAAAGTAAACCCAGATGTCAGTCATGAACGGATCATCCTCGACATGCCATGATGCATCTGTATGTTTATTCATTACCATCCATTATTGCAATAATGACCAGATATTGTCTTAATTTAAATGTACTGGTTGGGTGAAATGCTCCTTTTACGCTCTTAAACTTTAAAATTGTTCCTTTGATTAAGCCTTTGATTGAATAACATCTGTCTGTAAAACATCTCTGTATCTCTGATCTGTATCATCTCTGTTTTGGGGGAGTTTATTTTAGACGTTTTTCCTGAGTTTATTAAGATTTATCTGTTTATCTTCAGAAGACGCCTTCACAGACGTGCTATTTAAAAAAAAAAAAAAAAAAAAAAAAATGGAAAAATTTTTATTTTG